TGAGGCGGACTCTCCGCGGCAGCGCCTGCTGGTGCTGGTGAAGGACCATGGCGAGCCGGCGCTGGCGGTCACGGCCACCGTGCTGCTGTCGCTGGTGGACAGCAACCAGGCGCCAAAGACCTCGTTGCGAGTGTCTTCTGGTGCCATGAGCGCTGAGACAGCTCTGGTGGACGTGAACGTGTACCTGATCATCGCCATCTGCGCGGTGTCCAGCCTGTTGGTGCTCTCGCTGCTGATTTACTTGGCGCTGCGGTGCTCAGCGCCACCCACCGAGGGTGCTTGCGGGCCGGGGAAGCCCGTGCTGGTGTGCTCCAGCGCGGTGGGCAGCTGGTCGTACTCACAACAGAGGCGGCAGAGGGTGTGCTCTGGGGAGGGGCCGCCCAAGACGGACCTCATGGCCTTCAGCCCCAGTCTTCCTCCAGGTCCGCATAAAGAAGATGGAGGGGAAAGGCAGGAGACCGGGTCAAATCATCTTGAGCAGGTGAGTGCTATAGGTTCTCTCTATTTTGAAGTCTAAGTTAAAATTTGAATTTATTTTATTTAAAAAATTTTTTTATTGATTTCAGAGAGGAAGGCAGAGGGAGAGATAGAAAAATCAATGATGAGAGAGAAACATTGATTGGCTGCCTCCTGCACGCCCCCACCCACACTGGGCATGTGCCCTTGACCTGAATTGAACCCGGGACCCTTCGGTCTGCAGGCTGAAGCTCTATCCACTGATCCAAAACAGCTAGGGCTAAGTTAATTTTTAGAAAATCCAGTTTATTTCATTGACAATTTTAATGAATATTGTGTATTTTGAATATTCTTTTAAAGAACAATGTTAGTGAAATGCCATGATACAATTAAAAAAATCAAGGTGACTCAAAACTTTTCATTGAGTTTTACAGAGAGGAAAGTGTGTGTGTGTGTGTGTGTGTGTGTGAGAGAGAGAGAGAGGGAGAGAGAGAGGGAGAGAGAGAGAGAGAGGGAGAGAGGAGAACCTTGGTCAACTTTCTCCCAAATTCCTCCAACCAGGAATCAAAAGGAACCCTGTGTATGTGCCCTGACTGGGAATCAAACCCACCACCTTTTAGGATGACACTCTAACTTACTGAGCCACACCAATCAGGGCAATACAATTGGGATCATATGAAGAATTTAGTTTTTTATCCATTAAGTGTCCTATTTCTTCTAATGTTTTGTTAGAAAATATAAGATTGACTTTCCCATTATCACTTTATTAGAAATATTTCTAATTGTCATTGATCTACTCAGGTAACTATTGTATCTCTAATCCTCAGTAATGTAGATAATCACTATGGATTCTCATTCTCTTTGTCTTTTAACAGCCTTTTGCCTTGATATTTTCATCTTATTAGATCACTTGACTTTTCTCACTTCAGGCTCATATCAATGACAGAACACTCTATTAGGATTGAAAGAATTTACCTTTCTTTTTCTGAGGTGTTAAACATTCATCATACATTTATTGCTCATTAGATAATCATTAATTCTTACTACTAATAAGATAAAACTTGCTTTAATATTATTTGCGTTAAAAATGCAGTCTTGCATTCTAGTATGCTTCTTTCATTGAAATAATGTAATTGAAAGTTCTGTTCATTTTTATTTTGTTCTATGAAATGGGTAGAGATTTATTTATTATACCAGTGGCCTGGTGCACAAAATTCGTGCACATTGAAAGGGAATTAATTAGAGGAACATAATTTGGACTCACTATCTAATATCAATAATATGTGAGCGTGAGGCAGTCCGCGTTTCTGAAATTCAATGACATACTTTGCCAAATAAATGGAATTTACAGATATCATATAAAAGAGCATTCAGCTTAATATTAAAAACTCTGGCTACCAAGTCAGGTCTGTTTTCAACTTTTTTGCCAGTGTTGTAAATTGTTTGCAATATCTGCCCATTTGGGGTTGCATGTCATGGTTATGAATAAATCGGGCTTGCCATACTTCATTACAATTGCCATAGCATCCTGATATCACTACTGCATATTTCTGGGACTACCCTCAAAGATGATGGAAGTATTATCATTTTACCAATCGGCACATTGTCATTTTCAG